GCAAAAATTCTTTTAAAATTTTGTATATTACGGAATGTAAAAGAATTGTTGAGATTACTTTTTTCATTTTTTATTCTTGAAACAAATAACAGTAAAAAAGCAGTAAAAAAACACCATTTTTGGAGAAAAAAAATCGTCATACCGCTATAAAAGATCATGTATAAAAAAATACTATTTACTTAATTCAAAAAAAAAAAACTTTTCCAACAAAATGTTAATAATATTCATATATATATATAGCATCAAATTCTCAGATCAATGGAATGAAAATTCATTTCCCTGGAACAATTTGAACTTTGCAAATTTGACAAAAAGACATTTTGAGAAAAATGACTTTTACTACTTTTTCATTGCAGGGCGTAAAAGGGGCATGGTAAAAACAGAACCGTCAAATTAGCTCGAATTCAAGAAACTTTTTTTTAAATGTTCAGTCAAATTTGGGTGAGCTCCATCAAAAAGTCCTCCACGAAGGCAAAATTTCTCCCAATACTCGATCCAGGAGTTCCATTGTCTTCTGGATTGGGTTCAAAATTACAAGGCTACGGAGTTGTACATTAGTAGTCGTAAATCTATAAAATTGGGTCGGCTGTTCAACGACGGTTATAAATTAAAATAAAATGCCTAGATTTCAAAAATTTAAAAAGTGAAAAATCGAGTTTTTGGCAAATTTTTGCTTATTTGAAATTCACTTGTCACCTTAATATTTATTGAATTTTTCAAGTTTAAGACCTTATCTACTTACACATAATTTTAAGAACTTTTTGGAGCCCATTAGTAAAAGCAACATATTTCAGTCCGAATGGGTCGGGGCTCTATCATTGACGACACTAAAGCCCATGGATTGCATGTGATACACGGGTTCATGAAAACTGTGGTAAGTCGTAAAGTCCTGTGATCAGTCACTGACCAGTACCATGGGTACAAAAATCTGGAGAAAACTTCCTTCCCCTTCAGGTTTATGTCTAGATTCTGGAGGCAATTTCTCGAATGAGTGATGCTGCCATCTATCCGAGATGTTTTGAGCTAAGTCGTACTTTCACCTTAGTGGTGCTCTCTTATTAAACGAAACGTGCTCTTTCCTAATATAATTCGTAAGGCCAACGACTTGTGAGCTTGGATCTTGTCATTAGAGATAACAAAACATAACTTTAAAACATGTTTATCTGAGAATACTTACATCAAAAGAGATTGAGATTTTTGTTAATTATTATTTTGTCGGTAATGATAAAAAAAAATTGATAGTTAATTTACGGTTTGCAAAAAAAAAAAAAGAAAAAAGATGAACCTTAATAATTTTTGATCTAATGATCAGATTGTCACGTGCAATTTTAATGATCTGAGAGGAAAATGAGCCATTATTCAATAGATTAAATTAGTTCGCAGTTTTTAAAAATTATTTATTAGTCCTTATTATTTTATTTAAAAATGTATGAAACATTTTTGAATGGTAAGCGCAAATTTATACTTCACTTTAAACTAAGAAATTTTAAAAGACGTATTAAAAACAAATTTAAGCGAAAGCAGAATTTATCCATGAAGAAAACGTAAATTTTTATTTTCAATAACATTTCTCTCAAATATTTTGAGCTTCCTCATTTATAATAACGTAGTTTGAAATGATTTAAAAATTTGTATGCCTTAGAGTTTAAGATTATTTAATCATTATTAATTAAACTATGGAATAAATAAACTAAACTAAACTCAGTGGCACGACAGCCCGTAGAGGGCCAAGGCCTACTGTGCCCATCGCAGTTTTCTTGACCTTGGGCTCAGCGGTGCAGAAGCAGATGTTCCAGATGGGTGATCAACCGAACGCGGAACCCGGGGAGTGTTCTTGGTATACTTCTTAAGTATACTTCTTAAGTATACTTGGTATTCATTTTATCGACAGACTGAAGGGATGAAAGGGTGAGTCAAGATTGCCCGGTCCGAGGACAGAAGTCTGAATCGGTGGCATAAGAGCGCGAAGCACTACTACTCCGCCACCGGGAGTCATAGAATAAATAATAATTAAATTGTAGCGTATCTATCACTACAAAAATATAATTCCAATTCCCTGGTATATAAGACATGTTAACTCGACTCTATTTGGGGGTACCTTTTCATAGATGAATGTTGATATTATTGAAAACAACTCTCCCCACATTGGTGACCCGGACGTGATGTGAACATGCCTACCTTGACAGAAACTCCCACTTCGATTTCAACACGCCTACTTCGATGGATTGTCCACATTGAACAGTTGACTTGCTACTTGGGAGTGCGGCATTATCCACCTCCTCGCGCTGTTGCTACTCAGTCTCCATCACACACAACGTTGAACTGTATACACTCGACTGCTAATGGCAACTCAGGAGCGACCATGACCGTGAACTTAATACAGCGAGTGCTCACGATCAGCACTCAAAAGTATGGTGATCTTAATACAGCTCTCCCAGTTTATCACAAAACAGCAATGAATCAAGTATCCGTTTGTCGAATTCGTTAGTGGTATCCGTTTGTCGAATTCCATCTCAGATTTAAAAAAAATTGTAGTGTATCTACAACTACAAAAATACGATGAAGTACGAACAAATTGCGAAGAATTATGAACAAAGAAAAATGATTTGAAATAAACAAAAAATGTTTAATACAATATAAGTTCCATCACTTACCCACATTTTAAGTCAATAGAAATAAACATTTAAGTCAGCGAACATTTTAAGTCAATTTCGAAATGAACTTTAATTTATTTTGCAATTCGTCTTTTTTTAATTCGAAATATATCCACTGCCATTTGTCACGAAATCATTTTAGAAATTCAGAGTTTCATCATATTTTCAAGAAAGCCATAAAAATAAACTTTATGGAAAGTTTCAAAGCAAAGAAAGAACAAGGAAAGTTGCCTAAAGACAAAAAAAAAGGAGTTATTTCGTGACTTTATAAATATGAAATAATAAAACAAGGAACTAAAAATTTTAAAAAAAAGTATGTTCACTTCCTTTTACTGTTTGCTCAAACGAATATTCTGTTTGAGGAAGTGAATGATTCAAAAACTTTTGATTTCAAAAATCAATAGTTTATTTTTGGTAGGATATTTTCGGTAAGTTTATTTTATGGCAATCTGGTTTATACAGGATCATTCAGCACAGGAGTTTCTAGAGTTGAAGGATATAGTTGATGTTGTTATGCAACTCTTTTCATAAGAAGTAAAAATCTCCTCTTTGAGTTGGCTGTTCGTGCGCATTTGAAAAGATAATTTTATTTATCTAAACTATGTTAATTGCACGTTATTCAGTAATTACCACAGAAAATTGCATTCAAATGGAACAAGAAATAACAATTTTATATCATTTAATGGCTTTTGTTTCTAACTAGTCAAGCTTCCTGCCAAATAATTAAACAAAAAAAGCTATATTTGGCTATTTTAATTACATTTTTGATTATAAGTTTTCTATAATTGAACACAGTACAGAGAATGGAAGAACATCCATGCCTTGTACGGGATTCAATCCCAGGACATTTTTGACTTGAGGCCTCCTTGATCGCAGGCCATTTGTATTTATGGATATATTTACTGTTTAAAAGCATTGTGGCTTTAATACGTGTGTTTNATATATATATGCAATACAGGTATCTTGTATATTTTTAGATTTCTTATCATTAATAAATTAGAAAATAAAAATTTACGCAACTTTTGGTTAATAAGTTTCAAATTTCAGTGTTAACGGAGAATTTTTAACGGAATTTATCGTAAGGAGCATGATAAAATTTTAATATTCAGGATAATGCACAACGACCGCAATATATACAGAGTAATTCAAAATGAATATGACGATTACAAACGGCTATAACTATTTAAAGAATTTATAGATCAAATTTACACAGAATGTAAAAGGAACCCAAAATTTTGTATACACGCTTCACAGATTTTTTATGTGACTTCCCTTGGTCACACGGACACCATCTAGGCTGTAGTCCATTTCACGCCATACATTTTGAAGCATTCGTGCAATCACCAACGCAAGCGCTTTGCAAATGCGTTCTCTGAGTTCTTCTGCTTCTGCTACTTTTCCCTTTGCACTAATGTCCTCTCAAAAATCCTATACCACCTGCATATGTTGTTCCCATTTGTAGGTTCTTGATTGTAACGCTGACGAAATCTTCTCCTCCACTGTGATAAAAGAATGACAATTGTTAAATTCTAACACGCAGAATGCTTTCTGCAATCGTCATTTTTAGAGTGCCTGTATGCGCAGAAGTCCGCTTCATTTCCATCTACATTCTATGTTAATCTTATCGATAAATTATTTTACTTCAAATAGTTATAGCTGTTCGCAATCGTTATATTCATTTTGAATTACCCTGCATTTTAAGAATTTTTCAAAAATAAACACGAAAAATAAACATATATTTGAAGAAAAAAAAATCAGTATCAAAATCCAAGGACTCTCTGCTCAGGAAATCGAAATTGAAAACAGTAAAATCTCATCGATTATCTGAGGAAATAGAGAGGAGTGAGTATTAGGAACGCCTTTTACTTTATCAGACAATTGAACTGTTTTTGATGTTTTTAAATCTATCTTAATCACTTATAATAACAAATTTTAATAGCGTTTTTATTCCTCTCTTAGTGTGGTATTAGTTGGCTGTCTCTAATTTTTAAACTATTTTAACATTATTCTGTACAAGCACTCTAAAACTGTACATTAAATATGATCATTACGGAATAGATGCTCTGTATTTATACAGAGCATCTATTAAACACTATACTGCACTTTGTATTTATACAGAGTGATTCAGTACAGCGATTGTAAGCTTGGAATTAAAATGAGGAATTTCAGGTGTTGAGAATTGCAAAATAACCCATATTCGTAAATGTTGCCATACATCTCTAAGGGTGCTTCCACGCTTAGATTACGCTATTAGTATGTATTTGAAACGGTACATACAGTTATCCGAAATTATCTTAAATTTAAAGTATTTTCTAGAAAAAAGAAATTTCAAAAATACCATTTAAATATCCAACAGAAATAGCAGTTTTATTGTAATTCAAATAAATATTATAAATTCTATCACATTTGATTGCGTATGCGACTTATTTAGATCAATGTTCGACTGTCTTCATCATTTCTCATCATTTGGCGCATCCGATGATTCTTCATTATTCGGTTCATTAGATGATTCCTCACTATTTGATTCATCAGTGAAACCCGTTTCTTCACTACTTGATGTATCGGTAAAACTCATTCCTTCATCATTTGGTTCGTCAGTTAAACCGGTTTCCCCATCATTTGATTCATCAGCAAAACCCGTTTCCTCCCTATTTGGGGCCTCAGATGTCCCTTCTCCATTACGTTCATTATATAATCCCTCATCATTCGGTTCATTAGATGATAATTCCTTATCATTTGATTCATCAGTAACAGCCTTTTCCTCATCATTCGGTGCATCAGATATCCCTTCATCATTCTTTTCATCAGATGGTCCCTCATCATTTCGCTCATTGGATGATTCCTCATCGTCTGATTCATCAGTAAGATTCGTTTCTTCGTCATTTGGGGCATCAGATGACCTTTCCTCTGTTGGTTCATTAGATGATTCTTCATCATTTACATCTCGTACATTATCATCATTTGGTTCATCAAATTCTCCTCCCTTCTCATCGGATGATTCCTCATTGTCCGGCTGATCTGGTTCACCTCGGTTACTTTGTTCATCCGATTTATCTTCATTACTTGTTTCATGTGATGACCCTTCGGGATTTGGTGCTTCATCAGGTGTTCCTTCATCATTTGGCCTATTAGAAGCTCCGCCTGCACCTTGTCCATTTCCAGCGCCTCCTCCTCCTCCAGCTCCTGCACCAAAACCTCCTCCGAAGCCTATATTTATTCCAAATCCTCCACCTAAACCTCCAAGTAATCCACCTAAGCCTCCAGCATTGGCTCCTGCATTCGTACCTGCTCTTGCTCCTATCTGAAATCCGAAATTAAAACCTGCTCCAGCTCCTGCATTTTGAGGTCTGCCATTCACCACTAATACATATGTGGAGAAAAGCAAAATAAAAACCTGCAAGAAAAATCAAACAACTTTTTATAAAAGGAGAAAAAAATATTATATTAAATTACGTGTTTGGGAATTCTGAAATTGTTTTCAATCGTAGTAGTATGAAATTATTTTGATATTAATTAATTTATCGTTGCTATCAAAGAACAATTTTGCGCCATTTATATAAAATGCGCTTGTGTTTTAAAGCAACGAAGAGCTCAGGTATGCGCGCTTGACCTACACGGTGTCAAAAGTCTGTAATAAGTAAATAACGAGGATGTGATAACGAACTTTTCCTTTTAAAAAACATAAAGCAAATTTCTTGATAGCCTGATTGGTAGGGCACTGGGCCCATGTCCAAGACTTCATAGGTCTGCCGAAGACTCCCCGTGTAGTAAACGGTGACTGATGCACGTTAAATCTGTAGAGTCACAAAGTCCTCCATGTTCCCACAACAAATCATTCCTCTGAGGATACTGATCCAGGAGTTTCCTTGTCTTCTTGATTGGTTCAAAATTACGAGGCTACGGAGTTGAACATTAGTAGTCGTAAACCCAACATTGGGTCTGCTGTTCAATGACGGATATAAAATTAAAATAAAGAAGCACATTGCCTTAATTGGGGTAAGAATACAATGACCACATTAAAAAAAAACAAGAACAAAAGAATTTTTGGTTTCAATTTTTCTACGCTTAGAGGGCTAACTTCGTTTTTCTAATGTTCGAGTAATCAAGAATTTTCAACTAATCTACACTTTAATCATTTAACAATTGTACTTTTTTTTTATTTTAAAATTATGGGAATTTAAATTTACAAATTTTTAAATTAATTTTAAAAAAATGAAAAGATGCAACAAATTAAAAAAATGCACGAATTGAAAATGCAAAAAATAATATTGAATATTAATTCAATTTATATTTCACGCTTTTTCTGATAGAATAAAAAAAAATTTGTAAAACTGAAATGATTTTTTTTAATTGGAAAAGTAGGGATACTATGAAATAATAAATATTTTCCTTAAAAATAATTACATAAAATAAGCAAAATATTACAAAAAACAATGAAGAAGTTGTAAAAAAGTAAAAAAGAAATAAGACTATTAAAAAAAACATAAAAAATAGGTAAAATGTTTTAAAAATGAAAGCTACTTTTTTTAAAGAAAAGAAAAGCAAAGTAAGCGAAATAGTAAACAAAATGTTAAAAAATCAAGCAACATGTGAAAAAATAACAATAAAATAAGCAAAATAATAAAATATTCAATAAAGAAATATGCTTAAATTTCAACAAAATTAAAACTGAATGGTCATGTAAGATGAAAGGAATAAACATAGGTTAAAATAAAATAACGAAAAGACATGAAATAATGCTATGAAAACAGGGAAAAGGTATTTTTGTACAATACAGGGAGTTTTTAATTAAATTTATCCTACTCATAGGCATCTGCAGGGGGAACTGGAACTTAAATGGCATAAAATTTGGTAAAAATACTACAGACGATCTGGAGGAGCCGTGGTGGTTTAGGAGATAGAGCACTACCCTCGCAATGAGGTGAAACGGTTTCAAATCCCAGCGATAGCTGGTCGAAACGAATCCCGCTTCCGTCTCGCACTGGTTACAGTGCTGACGTAAAAATATCCTCAATGGTAGACGAATCATGGGTCAGAGTCCCTTTTTTCATAAGGCTAACCGTGGGAGGTTTTCGTGGTTTTTCTCTTTGTGGAACGCAAATGCGGGTTAGTTCCACCAAAAAAAGACTTAAACGAAGGCAAATTTCTCCCAATACTTTATCCTGGAGTTCTCTTGTCTTCTGGATTAGGTTCAAAACTACTGGATTAGTTCAAAATTAGGTCGACTGTTCAACGACGGTTATTCAATAAAATAAAAACCATATAGAGAAATAGATTTCGCGAAAATTACTTTTGTTCAAAAATTCGCCAGTTGAGGTAAATGTAGCACTGGAGAACGAATGCTCAAATTTGAGCATAAAAATGTAAAAGAATTTCATTCAAGAGAAATCGAAATAAATAAATCAGATAACATTAGAGAAAATTTAATTAAAAATTATAATCGTAAAAAAAAAGGGTCAGCAAATTAAAAATTCAGGTTGTCACAATGGTCCTGGTTCGTCAGGTCTTAAATATTATAGTTCTGCTGACAATTCAATAAGAGTTTCATTTTTTTAACAACCTCTTAATCGAAATGAAATACACTAATGGATTCAATACCAACGTTACATTAACCACAATTGATTTTTTTTTGCGTTGTGATAAAGAAAAGAATTAAGCAATACAAATAATTGCAAATATAGCTTGACTTCAAAGCGTGTCTAACCCTTGATCCGTCTACTACTGAGAACATTTTACGTCAGCACCTTGGTCAGTGCGAGTCCTGCCGTCGCTGGGATTCGAACCCGGTTCATCTCATTGCAAGACGAGCTCTCTAGCCCCTAGGCCACCACGGCACAACTTTCCTCCATTGTCTTTAATTACAAAACAATCAATTTTAATCAAAAAAGAAAATTTTTCTCAAGTGTCACACAACGCTTTCCTTTCTCCGCCAAAATCACTGAATGGGAGGGAACACGTGACTGAGGGGACGTTTAGTACGAAGAGAAGTGTTAAACTATAAGAGCGGGCTTGCTCTATTTGTATTACAGCTCTATGGTTAAAAGTGTAGAGAAAATATGGGTGCTTACTTTGATAAGCGAAATAGTTTCGTATAATATTGAAGCAAATGAGCAAGGGCAGACCACCTTAGTATAGTTCGTAAAGTTATCCTTAAACCTGAAATGGTATCTGACTCAATTGGGTACCTAGAAACTATTTCAGCAATAAAATACCAATTGACTTATGCATTAAAAGTTAAAAACAATAGTTAAAATACTTTACCCAGTATCCCATGTTTGTGGTTGAATAATTATAGGAAAGCTAATGAGTCGGAAAGTTATTGTAACTGATGGAGTATTCCTTTGCCTCCAATGATTCATTCATAAATATTTTATTAAATAAAAAAAACAAGCAAGGAAACAATCGGCTTTCGTTTCCAAATTCAAAACAAAAAAATAAGCAAATAATTATTGAGGAAGTAATGATGGTAAACTGATTTCAGTGTTATATTATTGAAAATTTTCTTTTATATTATATTCAATTGAAAGTCGTATTGCGAAATATTAAACAATGTTAACAAAAAGGACACCGATATTTGAAAATGATGTTTTCAAACCTGAAGAGCAAACAAAAACAGATATTGTATTCTGTTTCATTTTATATTTTAATTTTTTTTTCATGAACCTTAAGATTTCCTCATGCAATATAATTGTGCATTGTATCTTTATAATATTGATTATTACATTTGAAAAAATAAATCTTGTTAATCATTGTATTGAAATACAAAGTTAAATAGCGAATAAATCTCTTCATCAATTTATAATTCACTATTAATTTATTATTCATCATTAAGTACCCTTTCATTAATCATAAATCGTTAATCATTCATTTTTTCACTATTAGTTCTTAATGAGGAGAACTATTGATTTATTGTGTAAATAATGAATAATTCATTAAAGCAAAATTCGTTATGATTCCTAGCTTCATTACAGTAATTGAAATTCCATATAGTTAATATAATTTTTTTTCTTTTTTTAATTCTTATTACATCCGCTTATGATGAATGATCACTTTATAAAATTGAGTTGCTTATTTACAGTTTTTATTCACTATACAGAAATTCTTTTTTTGTAGAATTAATACAGTGAAACCTCTCTGGAGCGACCACTCTCCGTGAATCCAATCAGTGGCCATCACGGCCACTCAGTGAGATTTTTTTAGTAGTTTAAAAAGTTTTAAATTTGTCTATATTATAGTAGCATCTTTGCAAATTTAAATAACGTTGTGGTTTAACGTAATGTAAAATTTCCGGCGTTCCAGATCAAATTCTACTTAAAACAAGGACTAGTTTCTCACTGAAAAATGTTCACATTAGTTTTCACTTTTGTTCATGTCTGTTCATTAGTCTTAAACTTTTGTTAAAAGTTACTAAGCTAAAAGAATTTAATAAAGATTTGCTTTATTAATCTGTTTCACAATCTAGTCAACGCAAAAGATTTGATTTCTCCCGTTTCTGTGAAGGAAAAAAAAAACAAGAGAATGAAGGAAAACAAATGAGAAAATGAAGTAAAAAAGCGAGAAAATGAAGCGCAAAAAATGTGAGAATGGAGGTAAAAAACAAGAGAATAAATTAAAATAACGAGAGAATCAAAGGGGAAAAAACGAGAGAAAGAAGAGAAAAAACGAGAGGATACAGGGAAAAAGAAACGAGAGGATGAAGGAAAAAAACATGAGAGTGAAGAAAAAAAATTCCCACAAAATTGATAAAATATCCTAAGAACGAGTTAACCGATCTTTAAGTAATCAAGAGATCTATGGTCAAATTCACATTTACAGAATACTTAATTCTTAAAATACGAAATCATATATTTGTTAGTATTAAAAAAAATTTAAGAAGAAAAATTGCCTTCATTTTTAATAATCTGCTTATCTAAACAGTCAAATTCGTCGACGTAATGGCTTTTGTATAAAGTAGTTTGGATTTACTTATTTCATAAGTTTCCTAAATTCTTAATATGTTTTTATGAATTTCATGTAAATTTGTAAACTTAAAACTTAAGCAACTGTCAGCTTCAAAAGAACTTTGAATGTTCCTTTTGGTGTTTATAAAATGTTAATTTTGAAATGTTATTGGCAAACCCGTTATGTAATTGAATGTTTTGATACGTTTTATTCTTTAGTAACTTTTCTAGTTTCTGCTTCAATCATTTATATCACTATACATAAGTAGAAACAAGAATTTTCAAGAAATCTTGATGCTTGCGTTTATAAGATTTTTGCTAAACACTAGAGTCCTTTTTCCGCTTTTTGAGGCACGGATCTAAAAATGCAGCTTAAATTCTGAAATTACTTTTTATATAATAAAGTGATAAATATTAAATTTATTAACAGAATTTCATTAATAGAAGCTCGAATAAAATGTTTTCCATTCCAGAGTTTAAGAGTTCTGGCAATATCTATAAATTAACAAAGCTTCCAAACCAGGACGGGATAACCTGGCTGGGAGGGCGAGTTTACCGTTGTCAGGGTGTTGTTCGAATCCAGGCAGTTAATGACTCCCCATGTAATAAATGGTGACTGGTGCACGTTAAATCTGTCGGGTTACAAAGTCCTACATGCTCCCATAACAAATTAAACGTCTGGGGGTACTGAATTGGAGATTAATCGCTCCCTGGTTCAGGTCAAAATTGCGATTTGTGGATGAAAGAATGAATGTATGTATGAGGCAGTCCTATAAACGAGTGTGACGTATGGGTGTGGAAGAAGTCAAATTCTTGGGCATAGATGGCGCCACTGGAAAACAAGCCACTGGATGGAGCCACTGGAAACGCCCCCTTCAATGGAATACGACAACAACAAAGCGTTAAGTTTGAGTTTGCACATGATTAATACGTTAAACGTATGGTTTCAAGACTATTTTTGTCGTTTGATTCTCACAATTTTAGATTTTGATACTTTAGAACTTTTACTTTTTCATTTTTTAGTTTTAATGTTTATGGATATACATTTTCTAAGCGTTTTTGTTTTTGTTTTTTCTATTTTCAGTTCCTATGACATTTCATATCAATACACAAAACTGAATTCAAACATTGAAAAGTGAGTGTTCGTGGATTAAATTTCTCTTTAAAGTTTTTAGAAAGTACGATGTGTTCTCAAATATTTAAAAATCTTTTTCGCGTAAAACATTTAAGTTTTTAATTTCGTAACGAAATAAAACTTTCAAATTGAAATAAATCAATCAGATTTATTTATTTCAATTCTAAACTGTTTTTAGTTGAATGAGTAATTTGTTTTTTTTAATTACTATTTTCCTGAAAAATTTCTTCAGAAAACCTAAAGATGCTTTTTTAATACTTCAATTACTTTAATAGAAGAATGTATCTTTTACAGTTATTGTTAATACTGTTAGAATAAGGACTGTATAGTTTTTATACCCAATAAAACTCTTTTCTAGTACAAAGACCAATTTAGTTAAGAAAAACTTAAATTAGTTTCTTAATTCTATTATGAGACTTGGATTAAAAAAACACTTCCTAGAAAAGTTAAGGCCTCCAAACGGGTTACCATAAACGAGAAATCCGATCATTTAGTAGTATAAACGTAGTAACATCTTTCTTATTCTTTCTTCACTGCGCAATTTAGTGGCCCGAAGTTAGTGACATATTCCGTACATTATCCCTACTGCGCAGTTTATGTTTGTTACGTCAGATTATTAAATTCTTTCGTACACAGGCAATCCTTACTCTACAGTTCCTGGCTGTATTATTAGACGCACTTTAAAATTCCATGTAAAATTATAATTATCATGTGATATTATACAGCTGTATTGTTTTTACTCGGATGAAACCGGTTTGCACTTGTTTATGTTCATGTATCAATGGGTTCACATTGTAATGCAATACTTTAAAAATAAATACAAATAGGAAGTGTATAAAAAATCTCCTGAATAAAAACCCCATTACATGCATGTTTAAATGTAAATTGCCTATAAACTCGTAAAAATATTGCCTATAAACTCGTGCAAATCATGTGAGTATTATAACACTACAGTGTGTCTAATAATTTGGTCTAATTATTATAATATACAAATACGAGGGTTGCTATTTATATTTTTGGCCTTGGCAACAGTAAGTGTTGCTAGGCGACCGCAGACGATTTTAATCGAAAGTTTGATATTTTTAAACATAAATTCAGCAGACGATTTACCATTATAGCTTCATTTGTGTTGTTGACAGTAAATTGAAAAGTTCTTCTCTTTCAAAAAATGGAATTGAATCGTGAACATTTTCGTGCCATTATTTTTCATAACTTTCGACGTGGATTGTCAAGACAAGAGTGCTTCGATGAACTTAATTCTTTATTCAGCGATAAAGCGCCATCCTACAGCACTGTAAAAAATTGGTATAACGAATTTAATCGTGGTCGATGTTCGATCCAGGACGAATCCCGTGCAGGTCGTCCAAAATCCGTTGTTGTGCCAGAAAAGATCGATGCTGTGCGTGAACTGATAAAGCAAGATCGTCATGTGACATACCGTGAGATAGAGGCGTCTTTGGACATTAGTATGACTAGCATCAATAAAATATTGCATGAACATTTGAGCGTAAAAAAAATTTGTTCGCGTTGGATCCCGCATAATCTGACAAACGCTCAAAAAAAGGCTCGTGTCGATTGGTGCAAGGAAATGTTGGAAAAATACGTTCAAGGTACATCAAAGGCTGTGTATAACATCTACACAGGTGACGAATCATGGATCTATGCATATGAGCCGGAAACAAAACAGCAATCAACTGTATGGGTCTTCCAAGACGAGGCAAAACCAACAAAAGTTGTTCGAGGAAGAAGCACATCGAAACAAATGATTGCCTGTTTCTTCGGCATTAACGGTCATGTGGCAACAGTGGCGTTAGAGCAACGCAGGACGGTCAATTCTGAATGGTACACGACCATTTGTTTGCCAGAAGTCATCGGAGAAATTCGAAAAAAGCAGAAGAACAGGCGAATCATTCTTCATCATGACAATGCGAGCTCTCACACATCGACTCAAACAAAGGCATTTCTGACGGAGCGAAAGATCGAACTGATGGGTCATCCGCCGTACAGCCCTGATTTGGCACCCAATGACTTCTTCTTATTCCCACACATCAAAAATAAATTACGTGGACAACGATTTTCGACCCCCGAAGAAGCGGTTGATGCATTCAAAACGCATGTTTTGGAGTTACCTCAATCGGACTGGAAAAAGTGCTTTGAAAATTGGTTCAAACGCATGCAAAAGTGTATTGATCATCATGGAGAATATTTTGAAAAACAATAAAACCAATTTCGATCCTACATATTTGTTTTTTTCATTATTAGGCCAGAAATATAAATAGCAACCCTCGTATAATGCTTGATATGATAAATATTCTATATTTATATAATATATAGTCCGATTTGTCCAATCGTCGAATTTATATTATCTATCGTCTCAGTTAACCAATTAACAAGTGCAAACTGGTTTCAGTCACGTAAAAAACAACAATGCTGCATAATATCACCTGATAATTAAATATTGCACATAGAATCTTATAATGCGTCGAATAATTTGACCCGGGACTGTAGGAGGTGTTGGTTAAACTCTACGTAACAGTAACGGTGTTCATACGCTTCTTCATTCGACTTTTTTCTCCACGAAAACTAGAGAGTGTAAATTTTTGCGTTGACCGTATTTAGAAACAGTTTCAAGAAAAGCTACATCTTCCTTAAATTCTTTATTTTTAACAAAAAGTTAATAATTAATCTCAAACTAATTAGCATATCTAAGGTTAGCTACTCGAACTAATAAGATTGCAACTTAAATCCGATCATTAGATTAAAAATTATTACGAAGTTATTTGCTTAACCCTTTTTTCAAAATGGGTGTTGTTTAGAGTTTAATGGCGTGAAAGTCATTTGAAAGTCATCACACTTTTCAACTGTGTTCAAGAGTAATAGTAAGCAGAGCACATGCGTTGCTATGGCGACAGCTGCTGTTTGATAATTTTTTTTCTAGAATTATTATTTTTCTTTTTTAATTTTTTTATGCATTAAGTGGGTAAGTTTATTTTTGAGCTATGGCAACAGAGAGATCCCATAAATACTTCTAGAGTTGTGAATAAACGAGAATTTCTTCATTTGAACGATATTTTTGTTTTTATTGTTTTAATTAAGAAGCAGAAATTCTAACCAACAGTTCAAACTGGACCGTTTTCAATACTAATTTAGGTGAATATCAAAAATAAAGAGGGTGAAAAAAAAATTAGACAGCAACCATTTTGACAATGGTTGACCTGTGATCGCCTTTCGGAGAAATGTTTCTTATTTTGAATTGTGCTTACGTTGAGAAATAATATTAACAAATTTTTAAGCAAATATTTTCAACTTTTTGAAAGGAAAGGGCGACTTTCTTAAAGTTAGCTGGCAAGAATTACTTTGAACGTCAAAATAAATTTGTATGTCCTCAGTTTTTTGTTCATTTTTGAAAAACCAAGTAAACTGCTGTATTTTTTTAAAAATTGTGTTTATTATACAAGCAACCGAAGTAAAAGAGGAATAGTCTTTGTAATTTGTATTGCAGTAATTTTTATTTAGCACCAAATTATGTTATGAATTTTAAGAGATAAACAAATAACTTTAAAGTCGTTAGAATTCTGACAGTTAGAAACAAAATTTTAATATTTCTAAGTGTTTTTTTTAAAAAAAAATACATAAAATGTCGGAATTTTTGGAGTTTTGATCCGATTCGAAGTTGGAATGGTATCTGGCTTCGGTCAGTTTTTCAGAAAATTAATTATTTTTTAAAATTGTTATTATTTAATAAACTTCAATATTTCTTCAGTCTATGACAGTTTCTAAAAAATTACTATGTAAAATTTTGAAACAAATGCATTGCATTTTTCTCTGGCACTATTTGTAAAAGCTTTTGCTATGGCTTTTTTAAATATGCTGCTAATTTAAGCCAATAAAATTTTGCTGGATAGTTAATTGCAACAGAGTACAGTAGGCCAGCATCCAAGGTCTCGTGGCCAAAATTAGCATTTGATACAATTTGTTTCAAAATTTGGGGTTTTTTATTTAGGGGTTTTAATGTGCTGGTAAATTGAAATATCCACACAAAAAAATCAAAATGGTGACTGAAATATGGAGAGCAAAAATTAAAAAAAATAATATAGTACGGTTAAATAATTAATTATAGCAATGAAAATATAATGATTTTCGTAATTTTATATTAAAAATAAAAAGCAAATAATATTTCCGAAGTAATATTAAAAATTCCTGCGAATTAAATAAAGCGAAAACATGAAAAAAAAAACATAATTTTTGTTTTTCGGTATATTTAGTTCACCTTTTCAATACGGACAAAATGGGGAAGGTAGAAACATCAAAGAAGACAACAAAAAAAGTTTAGCTAATTACTTCGTGGAACTTTTTGGAACTAAAATTCGAACGTCATTCAAACATTGTAAAATGTCAAATGATAAGATAAACTGTAAGTTTGTCAAGAGTATTAATGAATCCAACAAATTGAAAAATTGTACTATAATTTCAGACTAATTACTCTGATTAGAATGTAACAGTAAGGAGAAATTCCTATATATATTTCTGAAATAAAAATTTTAAAGTTACATTAAAAAAAAAAAAATTAACATATTTTTCATTACACTGTACTCTCGTCGGTCCGAAAAGTAAATTATAATGTTTGGAATGATTATGAATATTTAATTTGGGCTATATTAAAACTGCCTACACATATTTTAGTTGAAAATTAAATTATTGATTTTTGGCCAAAGATCATGGTGTTCTGACCCACAGTGTACTGTGACCGTTTCATTTCTTAGTGTTCTTTCTTGCCACTACGAAGTATTCTGGGAAACATTTGAAACTCGAATAAAAATGAATACTGAAAATTATGAGATGGATTTTGCGGCATATTTTCATTACTATCATTTTACAATCATATTTAAAACTATTTTATAGAACTTTCAAATCAAGTTTCTTGACTGCACATTATAAAAGACACATATTTTCATTATAGAACCTTGTAAGAGTTTAAGACCTTGTAAAATGAACACAAGCTTTTTATTAGGACCTCTCCGAGTTGATAAATAAATGTTAAAATTATTCGGTTTATTTAACATTCTTCTAAGAATGTTAAATAAATTGGTAAAAATAAAATTAAAAAACCTTCTAAATGAGAAAAAAATTCTTTTTTTTTCGAAAAATAGGATTGTTAAAAGTACTTTTATTTCGAATCAGTCACTTTAAATAATAAGACAAATGTATTCTTAAGTATTATATAACAACTTTAATTCTTTTTTGATATGATTATACATAACTTTAATATTAGAGCATAAACAACTCGCATGACTGCCTCTATTTTGAAGAACCAGGACTACTAGTTGTTTTATCTTCTCCAGAACTCGATACCTCGATGCCAATTTCACTACTTGATTCTGTCCATCCACTACTGGAAGAACCTTCCCCATCTCCAGTACTTTCACTATTACCTTCATTACTTCCCCTTGTCTCATCATTTTCTGAATTATTTTCACTCTCACCAGAAGCTCCCTTGCATTCTGGGTCATCAGTGGATTTTTCAGAACCAGATTCTTCCTTGCTGGGTTCATCACGGCTATTTCTCTTTCTGTGAGGTTTTGCATTGCATGCCACAACAACCACAGTGGCCACAATAAGAAGGATCTGTCAAGTTAGGATATTTTAATCAAATGTAAATTTGTCAATAAATAATATAATTGTAATAAGTGTTTTCAATATTTATTTGTATCATTTATAGTAATTTATTTGTAAATAAATAAATAATTGCCAATACGTAGTTTACAAAATAAAAAAAAATAAGTGTTTATCGTATTTAAAATTTACACATCTAAAAAATTTCCTTTCATGTCACTGTTATTGTTTATAAAATTTTGTATATTTTACCAAAGAATGTTTCGTTGTGGATTCATATATTCTTCGCATTTAGTAAAGGAATGTCCAATGACAATATGACACTTGACTGAGTTTTTGGAAGCTTTATTGCCAAGGAAAATAAAAAGCTATAGTTTAAGTTCCTCACACTTGAGGCAAAACTATAATTTTAAACAATAAATAACATCTTGGGATAAAGAGTTATCCGTTTTTTAGAATGGCTAATGAACTTGAGTATTTCAAAGACATTTTTTTTAAAAATTCACAGTGTGGCTGAATTTTTTCACCTGGAAGATCCATTTTTTATAAATATATAACCGTCGTAGAACAGTCGACCCAATTTTATCGGTTTACGACAAAGTTCAAATCCGTACCCTTGTAATTTTGAACCCTATCCAGAAAACAAAGGAACTCCTGGATCAAGTATTGGGAGAAATATGGCATCGTTGAGAACTTTCTGATGGAACTAACCCTCATTTGCGTTACATGGAGAGGAAGACCACGAGAACCTCTAACAGTTAGCTTGACGGCAAAAGGATTCTAACCCATGATCCGTCTACCACTGAGGATATTTCACGTCAGCACTGCTGTCGGTATAAGCCGTATGTGGATTCGTATCGAACAGCCATCACCGGAAGAAGAGCTATTTGCAATTCCAGTTAGAGAAAATCGGAGAGCAATAATAAGAACGACTAGAAATCCTTTTGGATCTTCCCGCGCATGTTCAAATTCTGTCAAATGCGAGACGTTATTTTTGAGCCGTGCTGCCTCAGGGGATAGAGCTTGGTCTTTCAATGAGGTGAACCTGGTTCGAATCCCAGCGATAGTTGGTCGATACGAATTTCGCAACCGGCTGACACAGACAACTGTGGTGACGTAAAATGTCTCAGTGGTAGACGGATCATGGTTTAGAGTCCCCTAGCCGTCAGGCTAACAGTGGGAGGTTTTTGTGGTTTTCCTCCCTATGTCGCACAAATACCAGTTAATTGCATCTTAAAGCCCTCCACGAACAATTTTTTCCCTATATTTGATCCAAAAGCTCCCTTGTATTCTTGATTGGGTTCAAAATTGCAAGGCTGCGGAGTTGAGCATTATTAGCCGTAAGCACAAAAAGCTGGGTCTGCTGTTCCAGGACAGTTATTAAATAAGAACGGTATGGAAAAACATTCCAGATAATGCCCTGGACTGTCGTGACGATGATGATTTGTTTTATAAGAAATGACTAACTGCTTTGAAAAATACACTGTGTCTCAAAAATGGCGGACTACTTAAAAAAAAAGACATAAAAAGCGAGAGAAAATAGAAAGTTTTTGTATTTTTTAAGGCCGTCCACATTTTGCTTTATTCTTAGAATTGAGATCAGTTACTATCAAAACAAACTATCAAATTGTTTAGAAACTTTTCTAAAACAAAATTTAGAAATTACGTTTAAAAATATTGTTGTAGAAAATACATTCTTTCGAAAGGTTACCTTAAAAATTATACGAAAATGTAATAGTGCTGTAAATATAACTAACGAATTGTTATCTGCAGCTATACAAGCCATGGATAGTGTAAAAATAACCTATTAACAAGTTATCCTCTAGTGTAAAATTATTTTAAGTAAAGAAATGTGGAGCTCTCGTATTATAATAAACCACACGTTCATTCAGGAATGTTCTATTAAAGCTCTATAGAGAAGCGTGATTGTTCTAAAGTAACTACGTGAACGTATAGCATGCTACACTCTTAGAAATTTCACGAAAAAAAATTGTTAAATAGCAACTTATTGAATTATTATTTTACCATATTTAATCGAAACAGTCAAATAACCGTAAATAAAATGGCAATCAAACTGGCAAGCTTGAGAAAAACTGTTTATTAACTGCTTTTACCTAATACGGTAAAACAACCAGAATTTTATCGCGCCCACTAGAACCACCTGATGAAGCTACTTAGCTCTTTGCAACTGCGCACATATTATAGCCGAGCGGGCTTATCTGTCTATCTCAAGACCGGCAGATCTGGAGTTCGAGTCCTAGTGGTGACACCACACTATTTTCTCCATTCTCTTCAACACATGAAGAATTTCGATTCTTCGACACTCTTCTATGCCCATTACCTTACGAAAAGCCGAGCTCCTATGTCTAGTTAAATAATTAGTTTTTTTTTTTACGTTTTAGAAAAATGCTAGTTGTAAATGGTCAAAAAACAGTATAGTTTTGTATTCATGGTTTTATAACCATACTTTTTGTAAATGGTTTCAAAACCAAAAAGGAAAAAAAATGTTCTTTACCGTAAACTTTACGATTAATCGGACAGACAGCTGAGAGTAATTTTACCATCATTTTCGGATGAAAATTTTAACAGTGCAGTAATAGATGATTAAATAGCATTACATTTTTCGTTCTATCTAAGAACCATTCTTATATTAAATGTTTTCATCAGAAATAGTTATATCGGAAAATAATTAAAAAAATAGTTACTCACTAAAGTTAGCTTCATGTTGATTCTTCTTTCCTCAAAGATCTAATATCAAGTATCAATAACAAAATATAATATTGATCTCAATTTATACTCCCAAATTTGTTTTCATTCCGTGACTTTTTTTCCAGGGATAACAGATTTACTGATTCCGAAAACCACCCCTTTAGTGCGAGATACCTTCAATTATTTGATGAAGAACAATGAACTGTGGAATAATAAACACTGGTTGCGTTCCAACTTTGCGTGTGACAAAGATTCAGGATGTTGCAGAGTTGCAGTGCGTTCCATTCATGAATCAATACGGAAGAATATTTACTGCTAAAGGAAGTGATGTACGCACAATACTTTCAAAGAAAAACATACAAATATTATTTAGTTGGAGTAAACACGTGCAAATCAATAGGGAAAAAAGACACTTTCTGACAAAATGATGAAAATTTGATTCGAATTCTTTCATTTTTCCTATTAAAAGTTAATTAAAAATATTATATTATATNAATTTTCAGGTTTACAACTACTAATGTTCCTCTACGTAGCCTTATAATTTTGAACCCAATACGGAAGACAAAGGAACTCTTGGATCCAGTACTCAGAGATATTTGCCTTCGTGACTGACTTTTTTATGGAACTAACCGCATTTGCTTTATATGGAGAGGAAGACCACGAGAACCTCCCATGGTTAGCCTGACGGCAAGGGGACTCTAATCCATGATCCGTCTACCACTGAGGATATTTCATGTCAACACTGTGGTTGGTGCAAGCTGGACGAGGAATTCGTATCGACCAGCCATCGCTGGTATTCGAACTCGGTTTGTCTCATGGGAAAGTGAATGCTCTATCCCCTGAACCATCGCGACTGAAACATAAAATACGCAGTATTTGCTTTTTTATTTTATTTTTTATTTTAACTGAAACAAATGAAAAGCAAATACGTTGCGACTTTCATAGGTAAAGCCGAGTAGAAAAGAAAAGATTCGCCTCTGACCCAATCTGCAGATTGTCACAGAGAAAGTTCTGAAATTTGAATTCAAGATGTTCTGTAAACACCACCCTTATTATATATTTTTACCATTTGTCAACTAGAAAACTGGAATTCAACGACAACCTATTTTTAAAAAATTAACTACAAAAATTTTTGACAGATGGCGCTGCTCTTTTCTGAACTGTAAAACAATGCTTCCTCATCATGTTGAATCCTCGGATTGCACCTCGCGGTTGTTAAAAGTAGTGATTATTTAAGAAAACGTAGTTTTATAGTTATCTACGTTAGAAATGCCATCTACTGACGGGTTTTGAAATAAATTTTGGAAATTGCTGAAAGTAAGTTATCTGGTTAACTCAACAACCATATGACTCAGTCTCACCCACGTTTTAAAATTAATCACGAACTTCTTCAAACTACGGATTTTGTAATTGTTTTAAAATAAGTTGAGATTGATTCATCTCGTTATTCAGGTAATTGTTATGCAGGTTCGAATTAGTAGTAAATGTGCCCTAAGTTTGTGAAAATGTAATTCAAACAAATTGATGTAGAATTATTTCTATATATTGTCTTTGTCTATTTTTATTTTATTTTATGGTCGTTGAGCAGCCAACCCAATTTTTGAGTTTACGACTACTAATATTCATCTCCGGAGCTTTGAAATTTTTAACCCAATACAGAAAACAAAGGAGCTCTTGGATCCAGTACTGAGAGATATTTGCCTTCGTGGAAGACTTTTTGATGGAACTAACCAGCATTTGTGTTACATGGAGAGGAAGACCATAAGAACCTCCCACGATTAGCCTGATGGCAAGGAGACTATAATCCATGATCTATCTATACTGAGGATATTTTATGTCAGCACTGTGGTCGGTACAAGTCGGATGAGGAATTCGTATCGACCAGACATCGCCGGAATTCGAAGTTCACATCATTGAAAGGTGAAAGCTCTGTCACCTGAGCCATCACGGCTCTGTTTTTCTGTATTATAATTTACAAAGCTTTCTGGACGCTACGGATAGCATTTAGGACCTCATGCTCTGATTTTCGTTTTTTTTAATCTTTTTACCCTTGTATTTTCTTTTTGTCTCTAAAACATCTGATTTTTCCGAGATTTTCTAACAGAAAGAATTTTTTCCAAATAATTAGAAAGCAAAGTTTATGAAAGTTCTTTTAGAAATTTTGCTGCCAGTTTTTTGTTTGTTTTAGGAAGACGATGGTCAGCATACGCATTCCAAGCATTTTATCAAATGCATGGATGTATATACCTCGGGAAAGGGGCTATATATATATATATATATATATATATATTCACATCAAGTTATGATAATCTTGAGTATTACCCAAGAAATGTTGCAAAATTTTAAAATTAAAAATTTTTAAAAGAAATACATTTTTTTAAGAGTTAAAATTTCCCAAAATGTTTCTTCTGTGATTTAAATTGTTTTTACTTTTTTTACCATGTTTTTATGAACTGGCTTTTCATTATTAACAATTGAGTTCTATCATGAAAGCTTTTAACCACCTTTCAACTTTCTAGAGCTTTTAAATATTTCCAGGTTTCCGATAAAAATACCTAAATGTTGGTTTCAATAGTTTTCCAATCATTATAATTTATCGTCATTGAATCAGCATTGAATCAGCTCTCTATATTAAAAAAAATAAGATGCTATGGTTAAATTGGATGTTCAACTTTACATTACATTCTCTTTTACAGTGCAAAATCCTTAAGATTTAGAAACTTTGAAGTGAACGTGTGTAGAAAAATGAAGTAAGATGTAATAAACAAAAATTAGCATTCGACATTTAGTGCGAGAAATTTCAACTGTTAAAATTGTAGTAAAATATAACCCAGGAAAAAATAAAGTGCCCAGCTTTATTTTGTATAAAAGTTTACCAAGAGAAAAAGTATAAAGAGGATTACTCTATATGTTCCTCACATTTTATTCATTCAAATGGATTTGTTTAATTATTTTTTTTTACATTTCTGTATATTCAGTCATTTTAATTTTCACTTAATCTCTGACATTGTTATTATTATTCTCGTACTCTCCTCTTGGTTCTGTACCTCCCCGTCTTCTATATAATCCTTCATTATATTCTCCTCTATATGATCTTCCACTACCTCTTCCTCTATAAGATCCGTCACGATCTTCTCTGTATGATCTTCCGTAGCCTCTTCCTCTATAAGATCCTTCACGATCTTCTCCTCTATATGATCTTCCACTACCTCCTCCTCTATAAGATCCTTCACGATCTTCTCCTCTGTATGATCTTCCATAGCCTCTTCCTCTATATGATCTTTCAAGATCTTCTCCTCTGTATGATCCTCCGTGATCTCTTCTTCTGTATGAATTTCCATAATCTCCTCTCCCTCTAAGTGATCTCCAATAACTTCCCCTGTGACTTCTTTCGCCTCTACCATGTTCTCCATCACCTCTGCTACCTTCATCACCATCTGAGTCACTTACCGAACCTTCCTCTCTGTTTGGATTTTCGTCTGAACCTCTTTCATCTCCATCTTTTGAGTTTTCCTCTGACTCCCTTCCTTTGTCTGAATTTCTTTCTGAACGTTCTTCATCTCCATCTGAGTTTCTTTCTGAATTGCTTTCTCCTTCGTCTGAATTTCTATCTGAATCTCGTCCATCCTCACCCGAGTTTCCTTCTGAACCACTTCCTCCATCTATTTTTGAGTTTCCTTCTGAATCTAATCCTCTATTTCTTCCTGATTTTCCTTCTGAACCTATTTCTTCTTCTCCTCCTGAGTTAAATACTGAGCCTCTTCTTCCATCGCCTTCTGAGTTTCCTTCTGAACCACTTTCTCCATCTCTCCATGAGTTTCCTTCTGAACCACTTTCTCCATCTCTCCCCGAGTTTCCTTCTGAACCACTTTCTCCATCTCGCCCCGAGTTTCCTTCTGAACCACTTCCTCTATATCCCCCTGAGTTTCCTTCTGAACCGCTTCCTCCATCTCTCCCTGTCTTTCCTCCTGAACCACTTCCTCCATATCCCCCTGAGTTTCCTTCTGAACTACTTCCTCCATCTCTCCCTAATTTTCCTCCTGAACCACTTCCTCTATATCCCCCTGAGTTTCCTTCTGAACCGCTTCTTCCACCTCCTCCTGAATATCCAGAGTTTCCTCCCGTACTTACTTCTGTACTGTTTTGCAGATTTTGAGCCACGCTTACTAAGAAGACAACAGAAATCGTAAGAAATGAGATCTGCCAAAGAAATTAAAATAGTATTATTTAAAACATTTCTTTTATGTATGAAAGGAAAAAGTTCATATTATTTTAGAGAGGTTTTTTTTTATCTTTAAAAGAATTAATGATAAATGAAATGAAACAATCTTTCATATTCCACTAATATTTCCCGTAAAATTGTCTCAAGCTGATATTCATTTCCTGCATAATGATACCCTGGCCTAAAAAAATCGAAAAGATTCTTCTACAGCTAAGCATGTTACTATTGGCAAGTATATAAACATTCAACCTCTTTGTATTTTAATCGGTTCTTTTCTTCATACTTATTATTACTTTTTTTAATTTTTTTCAGACACAGTTTAAAACGCCATCAAACGACGTTAATGTTTGCAATATTTTAAAAATTAGTGTTCTTCTACCGCTTGTTCTATATTCCCTATTTTGAGTTTCATCCTCGGATATACAGGGTTTACAACAATTACAACCCATTAAGCGTTTTGAAAACCTGTTTAATCGATAGTAAAGAAGGTGGAATTGAAAATATAAAAGTCTGTTTAATTGTCAAATGGAGCGTGTTGGAATATTTGTAGCCTTTTACCCGTCTCTGTCGCCTCCGGCTGTGTTATTTCGTTCTTCTTTTGATTCCTGTTTGTTTTTCTTTTTGTTTTTTATTCGCGCTTATTAATCTGTTACCCACAGTGTGCATATTTTTTCACTTCATTTTGGGCAAGAATTGCAATAATTCAAATTAAGAGGGTTGGTTATAGAACTTCTTCTAAAACTAGTAGTAGACTCGAAAATACCATACCATATTTTGATATCAATTTTCAATATTATTTTCACTATTTGTTAGCATAAGGGCTTAAAAAATTCTGCCTTCATTCATTTATTTTTGAATTGATACATTTGCTCACAATTTAGAGACTTAAACAAAAAATAAAACATTCTAACATACAATTAAAAAAGTATGTAACAAAAAACGTATAATAAAAATTAAAGATTTTTATAACCTAACATACAATTAAAAAAGCATGTAACAAAAAACGTATAATAAAAATTAAAGATTTTTATAACCGTTGTTAAACAACAGACCTAATAATGGGTTGACGACTACTAATGTTCAACACCGTAGCCTTGTAATTTTGAGTCCGATCCAGAAGACAAGGGAACTCCAAAATCAAGTATTGGGGGAAATTTACCTTCTTGGTGAACTTTTTGATGGAAACCCACACAAAACCTCCCACTGTTAGCCTTACTCTAACCCATGATCTGTCTATCACTGAGAATATTTTACGTCAGCACTGCGATCGATGCGAGCTGGGTGAGGAAGTCGTACCGACCAGCCATTGCTAAGATTCGAACCCGATTCACCTCATTGGAAGGTGAACGCTCTATCCCCTGAGCTACCAAGGCTCAAAATTAGAAAGTTTGGGGCAATATAATGAAAAGTCACGAGTGCTTAGGAGAGTGTTACAGAAAAGTGTTTCGGTGGAGGAAAGAAAAAGAGAAATTCTATTAGCCAATAAGAAAATTTGCTTTGCAGCTCTCGAAACATTGCTAATTATAATTTTTATATACAAGTGTTCCCCTTGGAAACATTGCTGCTTATCACAGAAATTGCTAAAAGCAAATCAACTCCCGCGATTGCAAAACAAGCTAATTTAAAATAATGTTTTAAAAGAAAAGATGTAAAATCAAAATAAAAGAAATTTTTAAACATTCGATCGCTTCATTACTATCAAATACATTAAGAATGACTGCTGGTGAAAATAAAAAGGAAAACAGCAGCGATCGCCATAGCAACGCATGCAATGACGACGCATGCGCACTGTTTACTATTACTCGCGAACACAGTTGAACTTTGCTCTCTAATTATTTGGAAAAAATTCTTTCTGTTAGAGAATCTCGGAAAAATCAGATGTTTTAGAGACAAAAAGAAAATACAAAGGCAAAAAGATTTTAAAAAAACGAAAATCAGAGCATGAGGTCCTAAACACTATCCGTAGCGTCCAGATAAGAAAGCTTTGTAAAATATAATACAGAAAAACAGAGCCGTGATGGCTCAGGTGATAGAGCTTTCGCCTTTCAATGGCTGGGTTCGAATTCCGGCGATGTCTGATCGATACGAATTCCTCATCCGACTTGTACCGACCACAATGCTGACGTAAAATATCCTCAGTATAGATGGATCATGGATTATAGTCCCCTTGCCATCAGGCTACGCCATCAAACCCAAACCAAGACCCATATTGCCAATGGGCAATAATAATAGTTACAATTCCATAGAGCTTGCGATACAAATTTATGTACCTTCCCCAAACGACACCAATAAGCCAATTATTAAAGTTAAAATAAACATAACTGCTAATTGTATAAAAATTAACGCAATAGTTTCAGAACCCCAGAACACTAAATATACTGGATGGAATGCATAGACTAACTTTTCGTACATGCTCAGTTGATTCTAGTATATGATTCGTTGTGTAAAGCCGTTTATGCTCCATTGAGTAAATGCCGCGAAGAGCAAAATTTCCGTAAAAGCTAAGTAGAGGAATTTTTCCGTATGTGCTCAGAAAAGTACGAGAAATCTGACACTTTGAACATAATCTGTGCAATAGCCAAGAGCAAAATTATCATTTATGTTGCAATTTTCGGAATTTTAATTAGCTGTTAAAAAGCTTTGAAACCTTGAAATATTACATTCTTTAAATTTCGATATTTTATAGTCCTTGTGGCAGAAAAAGATATTGTTTTACAGAACTAATTTTTTTCTGTGTTCTGGATAATGTGAAGATGCAAGCTTTTGCATATACAGGCTAGGTGAAATTCTTAAGACTTTATGGCATTCGAGCCAATATTCGTTCAACCCTAACTGAATGCATGTGATTACCACATGGGCTACAATAAATATTATTTTCATTTGTGAAACAATAAGGCTGCAAATTTTATGGCATTCCATCAACTGTATGCTGTGAGTGAAGCTCCAAATTTCCCCTTAACGGAGACTTTAAGCATTTTTCCCCATACTTATATCGTTTCAGTAATAGGGGCTCAAGGGATAGAGCATTCGCCTTCCTATGAGGTAAACCGGGTTCGAATCCCAGCGATGACAGGTCGATTCGAATTCCGCACCCGACCACACTGACCACAGTGCAGACGTAAAATATCCTCAGTGGTAGACAGATCATGGGTTAGAGTCTCCTTGCCATCAGTCTAACCGTGGGACGTTTTCGTGGTTTTCCTCACCATGTAACGCAAATTCAAATGCAGGTTAGTTTAATCAAAACGTCCCCCACAAAGACAAATTTCCTCCAATACTTGATCCAAGAGTTCTTCTGGATTGGGATCAAAATGACAAGTCTACGGAGTTGAACATTAGTAGTTGTAAACCAAAATTGGGTCGGTCATAAAATAAAAAATTAAAATATTCATTTCGTTTCTGATCGCATTCGCCATTCTATTTATTTATTAAAATTACGACCTGTGTTGTGGATTCTAAATAATTTATATTATGTGAACCCTCTACTTTAAAACTTACTGCACTAAAAAAAAAGAAAAACGTGAAATGAAATTTCTGCTCACTGCTATTATCTTCATATTTCAATTGTACACCGAGACAAGTGTCTTTCAATACTTCTTCAGTTTTCACCAACCCTGGAAAATAAAATTATTTTATATAAGTTGATCCAACTGATCAAAATCACAGGCTTTTAAATGAAATATATGACTCAGATGGTGATGAAGGTAGCAGAGGTGATGGAGAACATGGTAGATGCTTTTAAATATATATATATTATAGCATAATAGATAAGTGCAAAAATGACAAAAAGGAAAAAAACGTAGAAACTTAAGAAAAACAATAAGTTTTATTTAATGAGCATTAGCTGCAAGTAAATAGAACTCATGAAATAAGTTCAAAATGTAGAGTAAACATGGAAAAATTACAGAACACTAAAAAAAGGGAAAAAGAAAAATAATAATAAAATAATAATAAAATAATTTTTAAAAAAATCTGGGAAAAAAAATTCCGAGAAAAGGAAGAAAAAAAATTTTAAAATTCCAGATTTTTATTAATTTTTTTTCCGTTTTAAGTTTGTAAATAAACTTTAATAATTTAAAGTTTCCTAGTCTAGTAGTTTTCGTACAAAAAAAAGTAAAATATAAGGTTATATTGAACACCTAAAACTGTTTTGGTTATTTTTATATTTTATTTTATAACCGTCGTTGAACAGCCGACTCAGTTTCGTGGGTTCACGCCTAATAAACCCCGTAGACTTGTAATTCGGAACCCAATCCAAAAGACAAGATAATTCATTGATCAAGTATTGGGAGAAATTTGAAGGACTTTTGAATGATTTTGTGGACTTTTCGATGGAACCAACCCGCATTTGCGTTACATGAGGAAAAAAAATCACGAGAACCTCCCACGGTTGTCCCGACGGCAAGAGGACTCTAACTCATGATCCATCTACCACTCAGGATATTTTACATCAGCACTGTGGTTGGTTCAAGCCGGATGCGAAATTCGTATCCAATTCACCTCATGGGAATGCGAGCTCCCTATTCCCTGAGCCATCGCAGCTCAGTTTTGATTCTTGCGGTTTTTTAAAAGTAGTGAAAAATATATGTTTTGAAAAGAATCTTTAACTGAGAAGAAAATATTTTAAGGAGGTTTATTCTAAAAGCAATATTTATGTGAAGCAATCACGGGAATAAGTGTCGGGCTTTCTCTAAGACAATGATAAGTCCTAATCGTAAAAAAATGCAGGGATTTGCAGGGACTAATGATGTTGTAGATGGTATTTTCAACAAAAATACTTATTCAAGAAATAAAAACGTAAAAAATGACAGTTAAACAGTTATATTCTTTGTATCACATGAGCTCGATCGTTAAGGGGAATATTTTTGAAACTTTTTTTTAATGCATGTGCAAATTTTGTACTTTTTGAATTTCGAATGTTGTCGTACTATTTAATGAGCATATAAATTTGCTTACAAATCTTTCCCAAAACATTTTTAAAATTCGAAATAAAATTAAAAAATTATGTTTAATTTTTTTTACAATTGAAGACATGTTATAATGTTAACATTTTTTTATTTTTTTTTTTATTGAAATCATACATTATTTTTTACAAATCAGAAGATAAACTAGTACCGATAAACATTCGAAAATATAAAGCATTTCACCTAAGAATTTGGAATAAAATATAACTTTTATTGAATAATATTAGGATGTACTTTTTGCAAATACAATATTGAAAGTGCTAAAATGTACACTACCGGTCAAAAGTTTGCGAAAATTTTGAAATCTGCAAAAAAAAGGTATAAGTTCAAATGTTCATAGAACTGCGAAAAATCATTCAAAATTCATGAAAATTTGGTACGTTCTAAAGTGAACCGTCTACATATCAGTTAGTCAGTTAGTTACATATGATCAAATTGCAATACTTTGTTTTTTGCGAACTGAATTCAGCTTTTCATCATGGGTTGTTTTTATGGTGAAAAAAGTTGCTAAGTTTGAACATTTGCCAAACTTACAAAAAAGAATTTTGTACTTTCTGTTAATAGAATAGTTATTTGAGCCATTCTGTGTAAGCCCTCAAAATTTCAGATCGATTTGATTTTTTTAACGAAGTTATAGAATTTTGATAAACATGTGTATTTTTCTCGATTTTTGAGCATTCCACATATACAGTCTTTTGGTCTATACATCTTCTACCAAAGAACTTTTTAATTTTAATGCTTTCTATATTTTCAAATAATTAATATTTATCATAAAACAAATACTCTTATTCATTATTGTAATTATTATTGTTTATATTTATTGTTTATATTTATTGCTTACCTGTATTAGTTTTGTTGTGATATTTTTACTTTATATTAAATTAAATTAAAAAGTTATAACAATAATTACATAAATAATTCTAAAAAAATAATAACAATAGTATAAAAAATTTGCATTTTTATTAAACTATTTTATTTACAACAGGTCAAATATTTAACATATTCTTATTCGTATTTTGTAATTAAATAAATTAACATTTAAATCTTAGATTCCTCGAACCATCCACCTTTTGCTTTTATTATAGCCTTACATATGCATAGCATTCGTTCTAATAAACCATTAATCACTTCAAGTGATATAGAGTTCCATTCCTGTTGTAAAATGTCCCATAACTGACTTCGATTCAAATATCAGAGCATCGTTTGCAAGAACAAACAAATTTTCGATGAAATGTGACATCTATGAGATATTGTTTTAATTATATTCATAATAAATTCTTTGTAGTAACAATAATTACAATAATGAATAAGAATATTTGTTTTATAATCAATATTAATTATTTGAAAATATAGAAAACATTAAAATTAAAAAGTTCTTTGGTAGAAGATGTATAGACCAAAAGACCGCATATGTGGAATGCTCAAAAATCGAGAAAAGTACACATGTTTTTCAAAATTCTATAACTTCGTCAAAAAAAATCGAATCGATCTGAAATTTTGAGGGCTTACATATAACGGTTCAAATAACTATTTTCTATTAACAGAAAGTACGGAAATTTTTTTTTACAAGTTGGGCAAGTGTTCAAACTTTAGAAATTTTTTCACCATAAAAACAATTCGTGATGAAAAGCTGGATTCAGTTCGCAAAAAACAAAGTATTGCAATTTGATCATATACAACAAACTGTAGAGGGTTCACTACAGAACATATCAAACTCTCATGCAATTTGAATGATTTTTCGCAGTTCTGTGAACATTTGATTTTAGACCTTTTCCTTGTAGATTTCAAAATTTTCGCAAACTTTTGACCGGTAGTGAATGAATAAAATCAATTGTCTTTTTTGTAAAAGAGGGCATAATTGAATAAAAAATAAAATAAAATAAAATAGCGGGAAGCAGCTTGAAATTTCAAGACCGACTAACTCCCTTTAATATTAAGTTATAATTTTAAAACTCGAACCGAAGGTGGGCCTCTACAAGCCGAAACACCCCTCCAAAGTATATTTTTATGGAACAATTAGGGGGGTCGCTATGGCCCCTAAATCTTTTGTTTAGCTAGCCAGGAGAGGGTACTTGAGGCTATGCAATAGCACGATCCCCGTATAAGCGTGGTCCAACGGCTAAGATCATGTGCTAGTGACTTACGCCTGGAGCGAGGGAGCAAGAGTTCGAAACCCGGCTGTGGTCGATTTTTAAACTTTATTTTTCTTTCTTTAGTTTCTTTGACTTTATATTATTTATTTAATGTGTTTTTCGATAAATTAAAGGATCCTATATACAAAATAGAATTTTTTTTTGTTCGGGAGATTTCAAGTAATGATTAATAATGTCAATTTATCAGTCAAGTTTCAATAATGTCAATTTTCAAAGTTTTTTCCTTTTTTTTCTTTTGCTTATTTTTCATTATATTATTTATTTAATGTGTTCTTCGATATATTAAAGAATTCTATACAAAATATAATTTCCCGGGTATAAATTTATAATATAATTTCATTTTTTTCGGGAATCTTCAAGTAACGCTTAAAAACTGCAAAAATCCCGGAAAATTGGTTTATTTCTATTATATTATTATTTTTAACTCGTTTGAAAATACTTTAACGATAGTTTAGCTTACGAAAGTTGTTCTATGTATAAAATCAATTGTCTTTCTTTGTAAAAGAACACATAATGGCATGAAAAATAAAATAAAATAAAAGGCAGGAAAAAGTTTCAAATTTCAAGACCGCTTAACTGCCTTTAATAATAAGTTATCATTTTAAAACTCGGACCGAAGGAGGGCCTCTACAAGCCGAAACACCGCCCCCCCCAAAGTAGATTTTTAGAAGTCAATTAGGGGGGGACGCTCTGGCTCCTTAAATCTTTTGTTTAGCTAACCGGGAGAGGGTACTTGAAGCTACGTAGTAGCACGATCGCCGTATAAGCGTGGTCCAATGGCTACGACCATGTGCTTTTGGTTTACGCCTGGAGCGAGGGGGTAAGGGTTCGAACCCCGGCTAAGGTCAATTTTTAAAGTTTTTTATTTTCTTTTGTTTATTTTACATTATATTATTTATTTAAAGTGTTTTTCGATAAATTAAAGAATCCTATATACAAAAAATAATTATTTTTTATTTGGTAATCTTGAAGTAACGCTTAAAAACTGGAAAAATCCCGGAAAATTGGTTTATTTATAATATATTACTTTCTTAAACTCGTTTGAAAATACTTTCACGATAATTACGCACACGAAAGGTCTTCTATGCATAAAATCAATTTTCTTTCTTTGTGAAAGAACGCATAATGGAATAAAAAATAAAATAAATAGCGGGAAAAAGTTACAAATTTCAAGACCGCTTAACTCCCTTTAATATTAAGTTATAATTTTAAAACTCGGACCGAAGGAGGGCCTCTACAAGCCATAACACCCCTCCAAAGAAGATTTTTATCAGTCAATTAGGGGGGTCGCTATGGCTCCTTAAATCTTTTGTTTAGCTAGCCGGGAGAGGGTACTTGAAACTATGTAGTAGCACGCTCGCCGTATAAGCGTGGTCCAACGGCTAAGACAAAGTGCTAGTGACATAAGCATGTAGCGAGTGGGAAAGGGATCGAACCCGGGCTGAGATCAATTTTTAAAGTTTTTTCTTTTTTTTTCTTTTGTTCATTTAACATTAT